AGTATGTGTTTCGAGTAGAAGTTGGATGGATGACACAACAAGTCACACTAACAGACTTTTAATACTTAATACAATCACTGTATAATCTCCTTAGAACACTTTACAGATTCTTAGGAAAGTTAAGCTTGAGTCCTGAATATAAATTGTATGGATGACACATAATGACACTCTAATAAAATGATAACACAATATTTTATACTTTAAACACTTTTAACATTAATTGTACAAATCTTTCTAATACATATTACAAATAATTAGAAAAGGTTAAGCATCTTCTTTCCATAATAGAAGTTGGGTGGGTGATACAGAATGACACTCTAATAAAATGATGACACAATATTTTATACTTTTAACACTTTAAATATTAATTGTACAAATCTTTCTAGTATATATTACAAATGATTAGAAAAGTTAAGCATCTTCTTTCCAGAATAGAAGTCTGGTGGGTGATACAGAATGACACTCTAATAAATTGATGACATAATATGTTATACTTTTAACACTTTAAACAATAATTGTACAAATCTTTCTAGTAAATATTACAAATGATTAGAAAAAGTTAAGCATCTTCTTTCCAGAATAGAAGTTGAGTTGGTGATACACAATGACAATCTAATAAAATGATAACACAATATTTTATACATTTTAACACTTTAAATATTAATTGTACAAATCTCTCTAGTATATATTACAAATGATTAAAAAATGTTAAGCATCTTCTTTCCAGAATAGAAGTTGGATGGGTGACACAGAATGACACTCTAATAAAATGAAGACATGAAATACTGAACTCTTTAACACTTCATACATCTTGTCAATATATTATTAAAATAGTCACATTTTTAAGAAATGTTTAATTTAAATACGATATAAAATGTAATCAATGTTTTAAAACTTTTGAACTTACGAAATATAGAAAAAAAATCAATTCAGAAAATATTTTATTTCATGGACAAATTTATAAAATGTGGAAGCAATAAAACGGAAAATATTTTACTTTGATTTTCATTAAACTTAGTAAAAATTAATAAGAAATCTAGTGGATGTAACTTTTATTTCAATATAGAAAATTCTTTGTGTTAAATCAAAGAAATAATGTATAAATATTAATCATAAACTTCCTATTTGAATGAGATTTTGTTATATAGTTTTGTGAGAATCTCAGAAGAAATTTAGGAAATACGATTTTTTTATTACAAATTGTTGAACGTTTTATTTGAATTGTTGTTTTTTTAAAAAGCTCAGAAGATCAATGAGAAATAATTCAAAAGAAACATTTACATGAAATAAATGCAATACAATTTAGTAAATACAAAAACTTTGATTACAAACTAATAAATTTCACTACAAACAAAAATTCTTGAAATTATAAATCATGTAATCTCTAATTTCTATTTTGTTAAAGAAATAGTTTTGAAAGTTGATCAGAAAATCAATCAAATATAGATTTAAAAAAAATGTATATTTACATGAGATTAATGTAATAATTATAAAGAAAAGTGTGACTTTGTAACGCACTTCTATTTCCACTCCACGGAAATAGATGTACGCCGATGCTTTCTATTTTCGGATAATGTTAAGGCTCGTTGAATATTAATCTTTATTAAGGAACGGAAATGCCTTCGGACAAAAGCAGACACCAGTGCTTCAATTCATCATAAAATCATTTCTTTAATCGCTTGGCAAGAAAAACCCAAATTAAATCACAAAAATTTCTGTTTTTCTACCTTTTAACAAATATTTTATATACAATTATATAAGTATGTATTTGATACACAATAATATTTAATATATTATAATTATGTGTGTTCATATGGATTAATCATATTAAATAAAGGAAACGTGAATATTTGAAACTATTTTTAATTGCGTAAAAAATGGATTGAACGAGATTGGGAATTCCGGGCCAATTTATTATAAATTTTATTTATTAAATTCATTACGTTCAATTAAACGTTTCGAAAACATTTATTGATGCACTTGAATAATTACCAACAATGTTGTAATTGTAATATCAAATAAATATGATTTTGTAATCATAATCACATCAGTAAAATTATATTAATTTTCTTGTTAATTAATACCTAAATCATGATTTGTGTATATATTATTTCTTTGATTTACACTTCTATTATATCTATTAGACGATATTATTATAATGAAAGTAACATTTTAATTCAGAAATTTAAAAAAAATACTTTCAACATTCTCTGTGCAATTGTAAATAAATTAATTATTTTTTTCAAATTACTTCATGGCACTGTTTGAAGCAGGACTAATCGAGGATTTATTTTGAAATAAATAGTGAATCCGCACTGATCGAAGCCGCAACATTGCTTTATTTACAAATAAATGATTTGAAATTTGATGTTTGTAATAAAAACAATGTTACCTATTAAATATCTATTTAAGATATTAATTAAGTGAGAGACCGAAATTACAATATATTTGAACGTGTTGCATGTTAAGAAATAAGATCGTGGGCGTCGCAGAAAGAATGAACAAAGGTGGGCGCAAATTGCCAAAGTTTGTGCGAACTTATATTTAACGGTCCATCAGTATTTTCGTTAAATTAATTGGTTGTTGTTGTTGCTTCGTTTTTTCTTATATTAAAGGTGGAGCTGCCTGCTGATTATTACTTCCATTTAATAACGCTAAGTGAATCGGACGTGCGATGATGATGATATAAATAAACGGCTAAATAGTGCGATGTATTTATGAGACGTTTTTGTCGGATGAAATTAAATATAGTCATTTTGGATGGTCGAGTATAAATAGGAAACAGCAGCAGCAACTGTGGTCTTGTTCATCCTTCCGCATCTTGCTTGTTCATCGATGAAAGAAAGTGACAAGAATATGTTCAGTTTCTGCAGAAGAGCAGCAATTGTGTGTATATTTATATATCTATATGTATTTTGTTGAATTACTCGTGCATCCTCCTTCGCATGTCGTCCAGTCGCGTTGAGGAGTTTAGGGCGGGTGGAAGAATCGGAAAGTAAAAAAAAAATGGATGGATGAAGGAAAAAGGGTGTAATCAACTGGTGCTGCGACATTGGACCCGGGGGGGTGCACATGTGTGTAAGAATCCTTTTCGACGGTGTTGGAAGGAGAGAGAGAGAGAGAGAGCGAGTGGGTGGAGCGCCGGAGAGGGATGGAGGGTTTCGGCCGCATGACGCACGTCTGTTACGTAACCGGTCGCAGGACCCGGGCCGTCGTCCTGGCAACTTGTAGGACGTGTCTCGAAGATATCCTGCAAAGCTACGTCATACCAACACACGCTTACACCGACTAATATATCTTGCAGGATAATTGAAGGGTGGATCAGGATGAGCAGGAAAATGATTTTGAAAGAGAGAGAGAGAGAGAACATCGAAAACTTATTAATTGTTTTAATTTGCATGCGCAAATGTTGCATTTATCCCGAATTATTATTTTTATTGTAATCCTTTTTCTGATATCAAGTAGGCGGCGATTCGATTGTCAAACCAATTATCAGATAATGCTTTCGTGGATGCGGAGGTGGAGATGTAGAGGACTCGGATGTAATCACAGATCTTAATGATTCGATAGCGTGCAATTTGCTGGGCATAATCCGGAAAATATCGATCCGGCCTCGGCCGGGGCCGTGAGGGGGCGGCTGTTCGTTTCACCATTTTACATCATCGCTTCCCCAGCATCCCTTGCAGAAGCAATAGTCGCGGGCGGTGGCGATTCCCAGTCAATCGCAGCTTTCACAAATTTTGCATTCAAACGGATCATTGCACGCTCTTGTTGCGTCCGTCCGTGCAGTAATCTGTTTACGTAATACCGCGGGGGCTGTTGCACACACACACACACATACATACACTAACACTGTTTCAAATATCGACCCCACGATTCCATTAGTAAAAATTAAATCCTCGCACTTTTCCAGTGTAAAAATACACCCCGAACACACGCAAAACAGCGTTGTTTTCATGATTCCACCAAAACAAAGACTTGTTAACTAATTAGCATGTATTAAAAGCAACATCACGTCACGGATCGGCAACGTAACATCAGTTTTTTTTTTGTGTACATTCCATTGTGAAAACTTTTCATGACATAGTTCAAAGCGAAAACTACATGTAATGAGTATTTTTTGATGAAATTTAAACAACTTTAGTTTTTTGATCCATACATATAATATTGTATATGGAAACTATATTGTTTAATATCTTGATTTTCTTCATAGCTTTGCGAAAATTTACTCATCTTTAACAGCAAAAATATAAAGAAATTGAATAACTATGTGAATATTTAGCTTTAATTTGGTTTCTTCAAAATTAATTTGTCGCAAACACTTATCGAGATATAAGCAAAAATGTAAA